TACTCTTTTTTAAAGACCGTGACGCATCTGTAAATCCCTTGGTGTTGCAGTTGTCTATGGATCGCTGCGGTCGACACTTATCATCAGGTAAGCTCTTCTATCGTATCGTATTAAGTATTTTATATTACAAAAAACCGTTGACTATGCAGGCCATCCCTGTAACTTCTCGCTATGTTCGACCTCAAAACGCTCGACAAATATTTTTACGAACTAACAGTTAACTCATTACATCAAAACCGATCCGAACAGAAATTATTTTTGAAAAATTTTGACAACAATAACCATAGACTTATAAGTGTGGAATGAAAAAGTTGTTCTCTAATAAATAATATAATAAATAGAATAGAAAAATGGTATATTTTTACTTAGTTATATATTCGTTATTCATATGAGATAAAGTAAATTGTGAATTGAAAAGGACTACTTCTTTATCACAAAACTCAAGATTTATAATTGTGAAATGATATTTAAATCTTGTTCTTTAAAATATTGAAAATAAGGTGTAATAAGTAAGGCCATTTTGATTTTTTACGACAATTTAGGGAGTATTTACACAACCCAAATCATAAGTCAAAACACTGGTTTTGTGGTAAGTTCATGAGTATTTAAGAGATGGCGCTGATTTATTCTATGCTTAAACCGTGTAAAATTTTTGTTCGTAAGGCCATATCTTGTCATTTATATCAATGGTATCAACCGATTTTGCTGTAATTGGTGTCAATTGACAAGGTATTTCAAGAAAAATGACAAATTATAATTAAAAAAAAACGAGTTGACCAAAAACTCAAAATTTATGTAAAAAAACACTTTTTTCGAAATTTTTGGGCAACGATTTCTCTTCAACGCATTAATCGATTTTGGAGCGGTTCGCATCAATAATGTTTAAGAGCTGATTAGATTTTGGAATTAATGTATACCTTTGTTTAAAAGGTATTTAAAAATATTTTTTGTAAATTTTATTTTTTATTTTTTAGTGTCATCCTCGTAAAAATAGTCAAAATAATTTTATGGACCTAAAAATACATCTTGAAATTAAATGCGATGAAATCAGTAACAATGACTTCGTTCAATATTCTCTCCGCTTTGCGATTTTTGTTATCGCATCTTGTTAATTGTAATATGTCAAAATGGCTATATGAAAAATTACTAATTTGTGTAAAACGAAATTTCGATAGTAGGTCGTGCTTTATGATTGATTACATTTTAAATCTATCGTTACTTTAAACCAGACATGAATAACATTAATCCATAACGTGGTGTGTATGAAGTTATATAACGTTTTTTTTATATTATTATATGTATTGACGTGTCATAAGGTTTTTTTTGCTAACATATACATAAAATATGCCGTGTAATATAAGCATAACCAGTAAATATATGCAGTTACACAATTCATCCGTACCGGTTTCGTTAATGATGAAAAGAATCTATGAATTATTATGTATGATTTATTTCGCTAGAAGACAGACAGGAGCACAAAAGATACACGAGATCTGGTACTGCAATCAACGTTCTAGGTGACTTAGGCGTACATTACACGCTCATGCAGGCGTCAATCAATTCCATCAATCATGATTGATAAAAAAAGTATGGTGACTTATAGGAGGCGTACATTACACACTCATTCAGGCTGTCAGTTTTACAACAATCACGGTTGTGATTGACGAATAACCTACCGTGTAATGCAGTGTATACATATAGTTTACGTGTATATATAATGTATGCCATAGACGTACATTATGCGCTCATACAGGCGTCAACCACTGCATTACACGGTATGTTATTCGTCAATCACAACCGTGATTGTTGTAAAACTGACACACTGCATCAGCGTGTAATGTAAGCGTTACACTTGCTTATTTACGCATTAAAGAGCATTAGAAATTTGCATTGTCATCATGAATATTAAAATAAAAGTTGAAATCATTTCTATAAGAGCTTTTGTTTCGATATTAAAATATCGTGTAAATATAACTAGGGTGTAGAAATTCATAAAGCATTTGCAATAAGAATAAAATAGTAATTTGGAATTTTTATTATATTTGAATTTAATAATGTTTGTATTACCTTGTTTGTAAGTTCAAAAACATAATAGATATTTCAGCATAGTATTCAAGAATATATAGAATAGTTCTATTTGTCGACGTTAGTATTGGACAATCTGAATTGAAAGTCTACCGACCACGTCCTAACACAAACAAAATGCAACGTATTACGCCTTCGGCTACGAGCAAACGTCTTTGAATCTGCAACTTCGTAATATCATCAGTTAAATACCTTAATTATATAAAAGAGTTTAAATTAGGTTTAGACAAGAATCAGTTAGACTGGATTAAAATTTAGTACAGACTTTATAACTTTCTTCATTACGAGAGCCGAATTAATCAAAGATTATTCGATAACTACTCTATTAATTTGACAGAAAAGCCAACATTTTAAACAAATTAATAAATTTTTTATCATTTATTTAAATATTATTCTATTCAATAGATGGCATTAATTTCAATGAAATCTATGGATATTTTAAAATGAAAATTTACATTTCTTTGCGTTAAATGTTTAATATGACAACCTATTTATAAATTAAGGCATATAAAATTATTATTTGGGTTTAATTTGTTTGTTAATCCAAAACCAAATAATAAGGCATATTCGTAATACGTAACGGAATTTAAGCTAGCTTTACATTTAAAAAAAATTGTTGACCCTGCAGGCAACTTCCCGCTAATTTCAAATGCAAAGCGCTCCAAATTTCAAAAATTTTTTTTCCCATTTTCCCAACGGCATTCGACGTCATTTTTTGAGGTTAAGAGCTGGTTAGTTTTTGAAATCGATCGATAAAGCCATTAAAATTAATCCCAAAATACAGTTTTTTTTAAATTTTATTTATATATTATAATATATTAAACACTCGCGCACACACACACACACACACACACACACACACACACACACACACCCAAGTAGTTACGTTGTACCACTTCTGCCTCACTGAGTCAGAAGTGGTACAACGTTCGTCGACTCGCGATCCTAAAAAAAGGTTTTGGCATGCTCTGATCACGAATCTGCAGTCCGTTTTTGCGTAGGATGCACGGTTCCGGAGATGTGCAGATCAATTAACTAATATCTAATTGATATCCGATGAGGGCCTCCACCGTCATTAGCGTCCTATTGTTCTTATCTATTGTCATTGTGTATACTTCCTCGGCGTGTGCATCGGCTTATCAGTGCTATTGTATTATACTTCATTGTTCCTATCTACAACGCTAATCTGAATCACCAATAAAACACATTACCTAATTTTGTTACAATTTTTATTTACAAAATACGAAATCTTATTATTTATTATTTATAAAATAGGAGCTAAACTATGCATTGAACATCCCTGAAACTTATATAGCAAATATATTAAGCAATATTCGCCACAAACTGAAGTCCACTCATTCTGAATCCTATCAACATTCCAGTTCTATCTTTTACAATTCCTTTTTAAAAACTCTAGATGATATCGTACAGTATATCGTCCATATGAATCAAAATATTGACCGACGTCATTCTTTTTCAGATATTGTTGTACATCTATCTATGATATTGCTATGCTATTAGTAGATTATTACAGTACCATTCTACTCAATGACTAACATAGGAGTGATCAATTATAGTGATTTCTAAATATTAAATTGCATTCTTTTGTGTTATACAAATCGTATTTGAGTCATCGATACATCGAACGAGACGCAACACGAAGCAATGTTGAGATAAGCAACAGAATGTGAGATAAACAACAGAATGTGAGATAAGCTTATTGACGAATAAAGTTACTATCGGTTCTACCGTAGAAATTCTTTAGATTAGAATTATTACTTACTGGTGCTATATAAAACCAGAGCGCTGCATTCATGGAGTTAGAGTATGGTCGTTTGATCGCATTGGATCTATCAATACTACATTTGTGTTACTTCAACGCATCAAAGGCCATGGATGTAAGTGTTTATTCTATTGACAAACTTACTTTTCTTTCTGTTATTTTCTTTTTTATGTATGGTTTAGTGTTAACAAATTATATTTAAATATTGTGTTTGTATATGATTAAACCTTGATAGCTCAGATGGTTAGTGCAAGCTGTAAATTTCACAGTACGCGACCCGCGTTCGATCCCCGCCGTCACCAATTAAATTGTCAATTGCAATTGTAAATGCTGATTTACCACGTGCTCGGCGGTGAAGGAAAACATAGTGAGGAAACCTGCATGTCTGAGAAAATTTAGAAGGCATGTGAAGTTCGGCAACACGCATTGAGGCAGCGCGGCGGACATTTCCTAGCCCTGAATACAAAGACAACAGCAGAAAGTGAAAAAGTTAAAAAATACTTTTTAACAATGACAGTCATTAGTTGATCATTAGTGAATGCGACTCTGTTTACTTAAATTACAGGAAGACAAGAGCAGAACGAACAGATGGGATGATGAAAAGTAATGAAGCATTGTTATGTGAAGTTTGTTGGAAGAAACATATTTTTAGTCACGTGTAAATATTTTTAACTTTTTGGTTCAAAATGACACAAAATATAAAAAAATATTAGATATATCATCGACATGGACAGATCTTACATTACATATCCTCATAAACATTTTCAATGTAGAGAAATGGCTATTCTAGATGTAAATTATCTAATAAAAATTATGCGTTTATCGATCATAAATTGTTTCGGCCAAGTTATCCTTTCAATTATTTGTCCCCAAAAGACAAAAAACAACAACAAATGTCTGCTCTAACATAACCGAAGCTGGGTATAGAAAGTTGGGTGCTGACCAAAGGGCTGCGTGGAGGTGTTCTTATTGTGGGAACATTCTATGCGCCCCTGCAACGCCAGCGCCAACCACGTCGCCGTCGATCCCTACCAATGTTGGGGGTGCTTCGATTGATTTGGTTCTGCAGGAAATACGTGACCTAAAACTAAAGCTTCATTGTCTACCAGCACTCATTAATGACGTGAAAAGCATGAGGCGTGAAATAGGAGAGCTAAAATCATCCTGTGAATTTAATAGTGAAAATATAATTAACTGTGAGTTCAGAAAAACTGATCTTGAGTCCAAGATACCTAATATGAAGCAAATTAGCAATATGAACAAAACGACACATTTTGGTAAGGACAAATCTATTATTGTCAACTTCATCAACCGCTACATAAAGGAAGAATTTGTCGCTGCGGCGCGAAGTAAGAAGTTTATGACAGCGAAGGACATTGGGTTTGTGGGTAACGAACAACGGCTGTATGTTAATGATCACTTAACACCGTTCTAAGGCCTTGTTAACTAGAACCAAAGCTATTTGTAAAGATAAGGCTTATCAATACGTTTGGGTAAAGTATTGTAAAATTCATGTTAGAAAAAACGATACTACGAGGGTTATGATTATCACAAGTGATAGTGATTTAAACAAGTTAGCTTAATCTGCCTCCAAACGTATAATTTGCTTAACTTATGTCTCAGCTTAATTACGTATTGCTTAATTGCTTCTACTGTAAATTACATTTGTAATGAAATGTTTACGACCCCTGCTTTGTCGATGCATCGCTTTTGTTATTCCGTGTTTCTTTCTAAAATTCTTTGTTCGATATATTGCTTGACGCATAATTGTTTCCACCCGCCTTTCCGATATATTTTAGGTAACCGTATGCATATTGTGCTCGCTCTTTTCTCTCTTATATATATTTGGTACAGAATGATATTGATTGTATTTTTTCCACGCTGCAAAAATGTTTTGATTTATTAATTTGTTTTTGTGTTGGTTTGCTTTCTTATCATGCTCTAACCCTATTACAAATAATATATTTTTAAGTAGTTATTTTAAGACTTTCTGCATTCCTCTTAGTTTAATAACTTTAATTTTTCGTTGCATCAACATTTATGTTCTTAAAAACCTGCTTTTTCATTACACTTTAATCAATTCTTTTAATACTAGACTTGGCTTTCTGGTTATTCTTTTTTGCAATATGTTATTGAATGATATTGATACTATTATTTTTTTAATTACATATTTAATATTACAGCACTGTTTTAACGTGATAATTAGTTACAATGTTGATTTACTACTCGAGATTGTAATTAAAATTAAAATAAGGAATTTTAGTTATTATTTTAAAACTTTCTGCATATCGTCGCCTTGGAAGGTAATGGAGCTATTCCACAGAACTACACTTCTGAGTTATGGACGTTTAAAAACTAAATGATGCGAGTAAGAACAGTTATTTTAACATAAATCAGCGTCATATTTTAGTAGAGAGTTCAAATTTTTACCTTAGATTATTAAAACGTGTTACCATTGAATGCTATAATTAAAAAATATCAAAACATCATGGTTTAAAAGTTATGTGGCTTAGACCTATTGACTACCATTTTATTTACAATGTAATACTCATATTACGAGGTGTATGTCACTTAACTCTCTTGCCTTATTGACTTTTTATTCCGATGACATATCAATCTAAATAGATAAAAACGCGCAAGCGGAGTGGAGTGTTTAAAAATAAATACATAATAATTAATTGTTCATTTACTTTTATTAAAGGAAAATAAATCAAATTAACAATTAAAAAGTAATGTAGAAAAATGAGGAAGTTAAAATAAATTATTCACTTTCTGAGTTGTCAGTAATTAGTCCTTCTTCCAGATCGTTATAAAAATCATGATACACCGAAGGTATGGTACCTTTTGCGCAGAGATCCTTCAGATCTTTAAGTTTATTGGCAGAGATCTTAAGCTTTTTGTTATAGAGCTTCTGTAAATCGCAACGTGGTGTCATAGTAGATTTGCGTAGGGCTTTGCGCTGTATAGGTAAAGATTTAAAATTTTCTTCTGATAATTGGTTCTTGAAAAATATAATTTTAGGACTTTCTTTTCGATATTGTATCCATTTTAATAACAGCCAGTTCATATTGTCACCAGTATCTGTTTTATTTTTATTTGTGATAACTTTGTTACTGTACGACTTAAAGTCAATAAAATCTGAATATGTCAACTCTTTGATCTTGTAATATGGCTTTGTTGTTTTAGCCGTACGTGCGACAGTGTACCAGCCTTCTGGTGTATAGATATCTACATGCCTCCCTCTGTTTTCAACTGCAGAGTGTACACTATCGCATTCCATCTCTGAATGTCCAGACTCCATAAACTTTTGATTAATGGTTTGGATTGGCAAAACTGTTACTGCATGTAAAAACATTGCGGCAATAATAGTGTTCCGATTCTGGCCAGAAGCAGTATCAGAAAATAAAGTTATTTCTTTTTATCTCAGGAGCCAATGACGATAAATGCATCCAAATGCAAGTGGCTATCTCCGATGCACCTTTAGTACCTACTCCTTCATGCCACATATAATTTGTAGCCTCAGAATCTCCTAAATTATACAATGTAAAATTGTAAATCTTTAACTTTCTTTTATAATACACCTGACCAGCCTGTAAGTTTGGAGCTAATAGTAGTTTTTCCAGGTCCATAGCAAAGGCAATAAAGCCAGGATCTACTTTGGTACGATTTTTGTCAAGAACTTTATGCTTTCTTGCTTCGTTTTTACGAATAATATGCAAATCATACTCTTCTTTATGAAGTTGCTGCTCATGCTCTGGCCTATTCTTAAATTGAATACAATGGTCACATTGATCCTTCTTAGGGCGATGGAAACCATAATTAAATTCGTTGGTAAAAATAAATTTGTAAAAACTGGCCTTTTCAGGTACAACTTGACGTTCTTTACAATACTCTACATAGTCTAAGCACAAACGGTTTTCGCTTAAACCTGAAGGCAAATATTTTCTCTTCGTTGTACTACGACAATAATGTGAAGACACAGTAGGTAAAGACTTAATGTGGTCTCTAATTATATCTTTAACTACATCTGATTTCTTGTTGGGTGGTTCTTTCTTCCCTCTCATATCTGGTTCAGTAACTCCAGATGGTGTCAATTTACTTAAAGCTGTCTCAACTTTCTTCGCAGATATATTAAAAGTAGTCAAAAAAAATGACTTGCATACTTGGAAACTTTGGCTATCTCTAAACAGGCTATATACCAACGTGTTTTTACGTCTACTTTGATTTTCTTTGTAGGTTCGTTTGACAGGTACACGTTGCACACACTTACCTATGAAACACCATCTTGCATGTTCAGTTTTCAAAGATAAATATTCTTGTAGAAGATTTTCTCTTTCTTGTAATGAAAATTTAAAGTTACAATTGTAATGGCACTTACACGATATATCTTTAACTTTTTTAATACCTATTTTATTTCCTGATCTTGTTGTATATTCCTTTCCAGCTAGCCTTAAAGTTTTTTGAGTATTACGTTTCCACTTAAGTGGATTTCTTTGACGTTTTCTTGTCAAAGTGTCGGAGTCTACTTTTTTACTTGTAGAGGTGACGTGTTTTCGAATGTATTTACTCCATAGGACTTCATTGTCTTCTTCAGAACTGTTAGATATATTTTCAGAGGTAGAGGTCTCCGAAACTCTCGTTACAGGGTGGTACATTGTATCGTTTTCAGAATCAGAGGTAAAGTAAGGATTGCGATCAACTATAGAACCTGAAAGTATAAACAAGAAAAATTATAACCATGTCCAGAAAGAGCATTATTATTTTTACCTGAAAATAAGTCTGGCAAGCTTTTTTATATAGGATAGGGTGACAAACGAGCACACAGTCCACCTGATGGTAAGTGATTGCTGTGGCCCATAGACATCATCTATCCTCGTTTGCGAATCAAAATGCAGATGCGTTATCACCCGTTAGGACTAAGATGCCTCGTTTCCAGTAAAAAGGGTCTCCGGTTCTCTCCACTCACCACACGAAACACAGCAGCGTTAATCTGCTATTTTAAGCTGGTATTCTATGAGAGCGTGGTCCTTACCCGGTCGAGCCGACCCATTCGTGCTACAACTATACTAATAATATAGCTGTAGCATGGCTCTACCACGTTTGAGCTACACCAAGATTCAAAAATTCCTACAAACTTTGTAAATTCTACAACAAATAAATACAGTTACTAAAATTCTAGATTTGAAAGAAAATTTATGGCTAGATTACCCTAGATCGTATTACATAACTATATTAACCTGTTTGTTCTCTGAGTGTACTAGAACCATCTGTTGTCTCAACTGCTGGAGGCACAGTTTGAAGTACATGATACGAGTTTTCGTCATTGTCTTCAAATACTAAAACAATAAAAATTAAAATCAAATTTGGGTATGTATATCTATATAAATATAGCAATATTTTACAATATCTCGTTTGTGAATTCAACGTTAAAGCGCCAGTGACTATCAAGGGTACAAGGGACACAATGCGCAGGGTCACCAACCGCTTCACTCGTCATGAGCGCTTGCCTAGGGCAGCAAGACGAGGGCAGTTGATACAATTCTAAATTAAAAGAATCTTTATGGCTAAATTACCTAAATAAAAACAATAAAGTTGTAAGTATATTTACGTGTTTGTTCTGTGAGTGAAACACTAGAACCATCGGTTGTCTCAACTGTTGGAGGCACAGATTGAAGTACATGATACGAATTTTCTTCATTTTCTTCAAGAACTAAAACAATAAAATTAAAATTAAATGCAGGTAGCACTAAGTTGCTCCAATATCTACCACGAGACCGCGCTAAATAACACCCCAGTACCTTTTTTGTTGATAGTACAAGTTTGTACACTATACACCTGACAAAATTGGGTTTAATCCTTCAATTTAATCAAAAAAAAAACCTCTACTCTGATATTTAAAATCTTCTAGAATGGTTCCATATTATAATCATCTAGAAAGTTACATTTTAATACAAAAAAAGCAGATAAGTAAGAAACACGTGAGTCGCGCCCGACACCCCGCCCCGCATAAATCGTTTGGAATGTCTTTTAGATTGATTGATCGAAAACGAATTATGAAAGTTGTGTTATGTTTGAATGTCACCTAGTAGTATTTTAAAATAATTAGATGTCTATTAATAAAAACATAAGTATGTACATACCTTGATTGTTTTGTTTGTATAGATCAAAAACCGCCGCAACCATCTTCTGTCCTCGCGATAAATTCATGATAATAATATTAACCACACACTGAATACTGATAAAATAATATATATATTTATATTATATGCACATCAATTGCTAGAAATCATAATGAACTCTCAATTATTTAAGTAGTTTATATTATTAATATAATAGATCATTATTGTTATTTTGCACAAATCACCGACTCACTATCAAAGCAAACTAAACAATGCACGCACAAACTCGTAGAAATACAGAATGTGGATTGGTTAA